AAAACATTTTATTTAGGCCTATCTATGGCCTTCAAAAAGTTGACGACTCTACATGTTTCGACGTTCCAACTTCATCCTGATTATTACTATTTAGAAATAAGTTCTTACTTATTTTTCTTCAAACACAGAACAATAAATAAAGAAGTAAAGCAAACAATTATCTCTTCTACTTAAAACCTTTGTAATTCATTTGCTGCTTGTCGTAGGTTGCTAAACCTTACAAAATTTTGCATGTGGAGGATGTGAAACAAATTTTTGTTTTTTTAGGTTTTATATATGCATTTTAAATAACCAAAAAAAGGACATAAATTACTATATCGATACCATCGAATTCCACTATAATTTATATAGCTTAGTAACTAAGCTGTATTTGGGTGTAAAAAATATGAAATTATGAACAGACTAAAGACTCCACATATCAGCTTTAAGTTTTGTATCAAAAGAACGAGATGACATAATACTTGAACATGACCGAGAAAGCCACTAGGGGGATATTTAAGCTTTCGATTGGTTATTCACATGCCATAGATAGAAGTAAGTGTATAGAAGGGAGCTTTTCAAAAAATGGAAAGAGGTGAGAATATAAAAAAGATAGGAGGTTTTTATTTTATATTCTAGCTTGTCAATATTGGTAATTTGAGTTCCTAATTCATATGAAACCATAGAGTTTATATTTTGACATTACCAACATCTAATTTGAACCAGTTCTGTATTCAACAAACCACTTGACACAATGTATAATACTAAAAGTTGAATTATAATTTACAGTTTGATACCAAACTTATTGAAGAAAATTCCTAAAATAGTAGTTCAATAAAATTTTGAATGCGAGTCAACAAACGTAATGACATAGACTTTCACCCATGTGGAGAGGGTTAAAAGGATGCATACAGATGAGTTCCAGGAGAATAAGAAACTTGAGAAAGACTAGAGTCTCCAACAGAGAAAGAATCTGTCATGTAGAAAGAGGAGAAGATATGAGAAACCAAAAGTTCTATGTTTTGGAGATGTAAAGGAGAAGGTTGAGCCCAATCAGTAAATGAGCTGATCAAGATCCCAAAATGAATTAACTACTAAGAGGGGTTCAATACTGATTGTGAGAGCTTGACCAGTCAATCTAACTGAGCAGACTCCTGACAGAGAGAGGAGGTTGCAGTAGAGGAGTCCTCTCATGATAGGGGTGGGAGAAATCAAGTATCCATATAATAGTGGAAAAGCAGATCCGAACAAAACCCTCAGGACCTAGTTTACAACATACAGGGCTGTAACTAACAGCAAGATTAAAACTCTCGAGTTGGATTAAGGATCTGTTCTACTGTGTTTATTGTCTAGAAAAGACTAAAAGAATTTATGGGAGGTTTAAAGAAGACTAGAATAGGAGGAAGATATTGAGAGCTCAAATACAGAGAAAGCCCCTGAGAGAGCACATATGTGATGCAAGGGTCTTCTGCAATGGGAGTTCACATATGTACACAGTGTAAGAGTTGAGCTCTCACAGGATGAAAACTGAGGGGGCTTCAGAAATGAGACATATCTCACAAACTCTTGATAACTATCCAGTTTGGAAGGGCTATAGGAGGGGAGAACCCAAAAAAGACTCACGAGAGCGAGAAACATGCTGAATACCCCTGGACTAAGATAATCAGGAAACCAGAATGAGCAGAGATGTCTGCCAACGAACTGCATCAGCTCTAATTTCCAAAGTTTGAGGAACTACCCAAAAAACATCTTATTGAGAGAAAAGGACATAAAACAGAGTTCCTTGAGGTGAGACTGAGGGAGAGAAGCTCAAGAAAATAAGGAATCTCAATCAAGCAAATCCTATCAACAAAGTAATCAAGTTAACTGGGCAACTGCTGAAAAAGAAATCAAGACCATCATGGAGAATAGGTATGAACGACCTTCCCCAGTAAAGCTGCTGGGATCATGATGCAGAGCCTCAGAAAGAAGGTGTAAAAAGTAAAGATAACAAAGAAGTTTAACAAGCAATAGTCACAGACAAGCAAACTGAGGGTGAGAGAGTCAAAGTTGGAGAAAAAGAAGAAATTCTCCAAGCTGGAAGAAGAGATTCAATAGATTGGAGCCCAATGAAAGAAGAAGGATCCTGACCATAGGCCATACAATAAAAGTGTCAAGTAGGAGAAGACATAATTGCTGAGGGTCAACATAAAAATGAAACAGAAAATAATCTGCATGAAATCTGCCACATAAAAGGCAGAGGGTTGTTACAAATGGAATTCAGTCAATCTGGATTAATGTCACAGGTGTGGTATCTCAGGGCTCAGTCTTACTCTTTTTGATTTACATCAATGACATAGATCAGTCTCTAAAGCCATCCAAACATTTTGCTGTTGCTAGTGGTAAAGCAAATAGGATTTTAGGTTTTATCTACAGAAATATTGAATACAAGTCTACAGAGGTTATAATTTCATTGTATAGGTCACTGGTTAGGCCACGTTTGGAATAGTGTGTTCAGTCTTGGGCTCCTTACCTCAGGAAATACATTTAATTGTTGGAAAGGGTTACTAGAATGGTGCCTGGGATGGAGGGGTTGTCATACTTGGGGAGGTCAAAATCTCTCAAATTGTTTTCTCTTGAAAAAAGAAGAGTTAGGGGGAATCTGACTGAGGTGTTTATGATTGAAAAGGGAATTGATAGTGTTGATGCATCATCGTTTTTCTTATTTAACAATGAGAATAGTAGGACTAGGGGATACTAATATAAATTTTGGCAGGATAGGAGTCATCTTCAGCTAAAACAGTTTTATTTTTCTAACAAGGTGGTTGGCCTCTGGAATGGGTTACCTTTGAATATTGTGGAGGCAGTAAATTTAAGTGAGTTTAAGAAAAAGACTTGATAAATATATGAATGATAAGGGCTGGATTTAAGGTTTGAAAAGAAAATGTATTTATTAATAGTTTTAGTGTAGTTTAGAGGATGTAACAGCCGAGATGGACCAAAAGGTCCCATGTTGTTCGAAAACATTATGTTATTGTGGTGAGTAAGTACAAGTCTTCACAATTCATGGCAAGTAAGTTTCCTTTGAAAAGAAGTGTTTGGAATTTTTACAGTATTTTGTTAATACAACTTAGCATATTACTACTTGATAAAAGTGGAAAGGCCCCAAAAATGTTACACAAAAACATGGGCATCCACAGGATGGGGCAAGGGTGCATTTGCCCCCTCCCCCAGAATTTCATAAGAAATTTTAATTGAATAATTTGAAAATAATACTGATTGAATATAAATGATGAAATTAGGTGTACATAAGTACGCCATAATCAGTTAGAGCATTGCACCAAAACTTACAGGGCAATGGTCAGCACTCTGTGATGGTTAAATTTTTGCAGACTGTGGGTTTGCCCTCACCTGGAATAAATTCTGCAGATGCCCATGCACAAAAATATGATTATTCATTCTAATGCATATCTTTAAGTTTATTCATCTTACCAGATTCTTTGTATCTTTATAAGGTATTTTCAACATATCCATGGCTTTTATCATACTCTGTATAGCCATGAATATGTTTTGGTACACTATCTTGATAAAACCCCGTTTGTCTTCATCAGAATAACCTGAGCCATGAATAATACGCATCTGTTTAATGAAGGTGCTTTTACCAGATTCACCTGTCCCTAGAAGAAATAAAACTATTTAAAAAATTTTCTTCTAAAAGTTGTATATAAATCTCTTGACAAATAGAGTAATAACCAGAGCAACATAAAGAGGATTTACTGCTATCAGGATCAGTATTGTGTGCATGTAAACATACTTAGGGAATCTTAACATTAATTAATACTTCAAATGTATTTCACTGTCAAAAAGAAATACAAATTAAGTGACATCATAACTGGGGTTTTCTACTCTGACAAGATTCAAAATGGAAGAGGATCATTTGCTATGACGTTTTATAATCAACTTTCATAACACTTTTCATCAATAAGAAAACAATGCTTTAGGGCTATAACAAAGAGTAGATTTCGTCCTTCAAAGCTTCGAAACAAATAACAAAACAAAGGTATTTAAACCTTTGACAATGTTAAATTGCATAATTTACTGATGATTTCACCTTAACTACTAGTTTATATTTGAATAAAAACCATTTTATTTTACATGTAATCCATAGAAGTGAAATAAAACATTCACATGTAGTTTAAAAATACATAATATAGAACAATAACTATGTTTCTATATTTAAAAAATGCACAACATTATGTGCATGCATTTGATGTTATGTACAATACTCATATAGCTACATATACAATAAGCTTGTATTGCAAGGGCATCTTACTGCAGCCAATTAAAAGAACTACAACTGATTCAAGCAAAACAAATATTTTTTTAAGTCACAATTCCAAGCAGATTAGCATTCTAAGTCTTTTTATCATAAAATTGATTAAATAAACATACATAATAATAAATAAACAGCAAAACATAACAGAATAACCCTAATACTTTGATTATAAAATTAATATTGACTTTCAACAATAACAAAAGTTAAAAGATAGTGTGCTATAGTAAATTTTTGTTAAGGAAGGAGGAGGTGTAGCATTACACTGGTGTTCAATTTTTCAATATCAAAAGTATTAGTGTTACCATACATTTTAAGTTTCATCCTATTTTACCATAACACTTCTGATGAGAATAACGTTAACAGTGTTTTAGAAGAAAAAGGTCATGGGATTTTAGTTTGTATCTGCGAAATAATGAATACAAGTCTAAAGAGGTTATAATGTCACTGTATAGGTCACTAGTTAGGCCACATTTGAAGTACTGTGTAAAGTCTTGGGATCGTTATCTTAGTAAGAACATTGAATTATTGGGAAGGGTTCAGAGGTTCTTGTACACTAGGTATTCAGTTTGTTTGTTTTTGAATTTTACGCAAAGCTACATGAGGGCTATCTGCGCTAGCCGTCCCTAATTTAGCAGTGTAAGACTAGAGAGAAGGCAGCTAGTCATCACCACACACCGCCAACTCTTGGGCTACTATTTTACCAACGAATAGTGGGATTCACCGTCACATTATAATACCCCCATGGCTGAAAGGGAAAGCATGTTTGGTGTGAAGGGGATTCGAACCCGCGATTCTCAGATTGCAAGTCGAGTGCTATAACCACCTGGCCATGCCGGGCAGGTATTCAGTACATTTTGTTAAAACTGTAGTCATTCTATGCTTCACTATGATGGTCTACTCTAATGTGTGGAAGGAGTTGCTACAAATAACATGGTGTGTGTGTGTTTTGTTCTTAATACAACTTTTGTTTAAGTAACGGGCATTATACAAATCAAAAGATCAAGTTTTTCCATGAGAGTGACATTTAATATGGGATTACTTTTCAAACACTGTCAAATGTTTTGGTTCATGACAAAAAAGAAAAAAAAAGCTGACACTACTTGAATGGACTTTCTGAATGTTTAGATGAACGTTTGAATGTTCAAACACAGTCATACAGTGTTTACATTGCATAGAAATTATTTATGAAGAGCATTACATCCCTAAAATTTACAAAATTAATAACTTATGACACTGTAAATATCAAAATTAAAAAAAATCTAATTCACAGTATGTGTATTATTTTTAAATAGATGGCGATTGGAACAAAAAACACATCAGACATCAACTCTTGCAGCATGGGCTCGGTCCCTGGAACCGACTTTGTAACCATTTTGTGCTTGTTAGTTTTCATGCTATAACATTTATATAAGTAAGCTCATGTTCATGAAATTTGGCAGATTATCTGTAAAATTACAAGGCTTTAGTATCAAAAATTCAGATTTTTTTTTATTAAGTCTTAAGGTTTTTTAAGTAATGTTTTTCTCATGCCTTTTTTCTTTTCACATGTTGCCTATCCAACATACAAAGTAATTTTCATTTTAAGATTAAAAATAGTTTTATGCATCAGAAAATTTTCAAATTTCACATGTAAAAATCTATATAATGTCCAGATAGTTATCAAATGTTTCTTAAGAAAAAACTTTATATTTTATCGATTACTTTCACTAACGAATCTATGTATGGGTTCGGTTGATCTGACTGATCTCGTAATAAATATAAATTATACCTTTTTAGTTCTAGAATGACTACAAATTATAACACGAAAACAGTCACATTTCAATTATTATACATTATGTATGTATATACATTGTTATTATTTACAAATAAGTTCTTAAACTTCTTTTTCTTAAACACAGAACAGTAAATAAAGAAGTAAAGCAAACAATTATCTCTGCTACTTACAACCTTTGTAATTCATTTGCTGCTTGTCGTACGTTGCTAAGCCTTACAAAATTTTGCATTTGGAGGATGTGAAACAAAATAACTTTTTTAGATTTTATATATGCATTTTAAATAACCAAAAAAAAAGGACATAAATTACTATATCGATACCATCGAATTCCATTATAATTTATAAAGCTTAGTAACTAAGCTGTATTTGGTTTTAAAAAAATATTAAATTTCGAGCAGACTAAAGCCTCAACTTACCAACTTAAAGTCTTGTATCGAAATAATTTGATGTCATAATACTTGAAAACGGCTGAGAATGCCACTAGGGGGACAGTCTGAACTTATAATTGGTTATTCACATCATAGACAGAAGTAACTGTATATGAGGAATTGTTTCCAAAAATGGAAAGAGCAAACAGAAAAGACAGGAGGTTCTTATTTTATATTCTAGCTTGTCAACATTAGTAATTTGAGTTCCTAAATCATAAGAAACTATAGACTTTGTATTTGGACATCATAAACATTGATGTTTAGGTGTTGTTTTTTTTTAATATTTACTTTTAAGTTAAGAAATTGAATAATGTATAATATTAAAATTTGAATTATAATCTACAATTTGATACCAAACTTATTGATATAAATTCATGAAATAGTAGTTCACTAAAATTTTGAATGTAAGTCAACAAATGTGCTGACATGGTCTTTAACCCATGACAATAGGGTTAATAAACATCTTCAGTGGTACTAAACCAATGGGGAAAAAATGCAAACTAAGAACCAGGTACACGACATGTACCCTCTTTTCCAACAACAGTTCTGGCTGAGATCTTACTTTTTAATTACAAGGTTAAAAGTGCTAAACAACTGGACATTATTTTCCATATTATAAAAAAACTTTATGCTACAAAATGACAACAGTTTATCTTCAAGTCTATTTACTATGCAATGAAATTTCACTTACCTATTCAAGTAGACATTGTTACATACACTGATTATTTTTCAGGAATGTTTAATGATAAATTATCAAATTATCAAATTATCTGAGGAATTGATAGTTTAAAAGCCTCCAATTTTTTTGTGCTATATTCTGAAGACCATAGGAAAGAGCATAAAATCTTAAGATTTGGAAATGACAGTATCACACAAATTAGCAATACAAAACTTTTTCAGGACGCTTTGAATTTGCTCCTTATATTTTAAAAACCTTGTGGATTGTGTTTCTTTATTTCACAGTAACTTGTTTTTGTACTGTTGATTAATGAAGTTGTTAGAAAGTACAACAATTATCAAATATAGTTTGAAATCAATGAGTGTAAAAGAAAGTAAAGTCTGAAAAAAAATTTAAAACGTATAACAATAACTTCTTTATGTTTTCACATAAGTTTATCATAAAATATAGTTTTAAAAGGAGTATTAATATGCAAACAAACAATTGTAATATAAATAGTAAAATATTTTATGTAACTACTGTACACTTAGTTATAAGGAATATAATTCATACAAAAAATTTAAATATTTTTATTACTGTTGTGATAACCTTTTCAAAAATATCACAAACAAATCCATATCTGGTTATTATTTCTTCAAGTTGACAAAACAAGGTGCTAAAACTTTACCTGGATTCTGGAGCATGCATTACGGAATGTTTTCATAAGAATATTGTACTAAACCCTATTTCATTCTGTCAACCCAAGACAATCTGCATGAATAACCATGTAACTTTTCATATGACCTTAGAACAACACAACTACCAGCTCTTTATGGAACCTCTAAGAATATGCAAATGAATTTATCTTCAAGGATGATTGTTATTTAAAATAAGAATTGTGGGTGTTTCTAAGATCACAACATGCATTTTCTTCATTTACCGCTATATGGGTGAAAAATTATCAAAATAACTATACAGGGGTAAAAGATATCCCAGAATGAAAAAAAAACCAACAAAAAACAAATTTCAAAGCTAAGGTTTAAAAACATGTCATGGGACTTTTCTTAAATTTTTAGCATTTATCATGTTATGATCTGAATAATGTTAGTTAAACATACATTAAAATTTGCTTTTTGAGCAAATGCTACTATACTGTAGGCTTTCTAAAGGATCCTTACGAGATGAAAATATTCAACCTACACTCAATATTTAAAAACTATTTTTTATTAAAAATATGAAGTTAAAATACTGCTTTAACTGAGAATATTTTGGGGCCAATATTTATTTGGAAAATGAGAAAAGACATAGATAGTTAAATCACAATATTTTATATTAATTAAACACAGGGAATCAGGATAAAGGATATACAGCATACTCTTTGAAAGCTGGTTTTATTCACTTTCTGGCCAGTAAAATGAAATTTTGTTTTTGGTAAATTTCTAAGGATGGCTATTAAATTTTGTACACTTGCATACTATAATAGGTACAAACAGTGGGAAATAGGAAGTCCCTTCTCAATAAACTTGCTATCTGCAACTTATACTACTAAACCATTGCTACGAAGATAACTTGTACATCTAATACAACACATACACTAGTTGCTATAATGTTACCGTGGGTGTATGTATGTGTAAACACCCAAACTTTTTCCTCAACACTCTAATTCACGCAAACAAAAATGAGTTTTGTTTGATGGATATTTTGTAGCATTACAAAAAAAATAGAGTTAGTACAAACCACCCTACTAGTCCTATATCTGATTAATGCCAAACTCAGGACTTACATGTACAGTTGCTCAAAGAAAAGTAACAAAAATAAATAATGTTCAGCCTAAGAAGTATATGGGTCAAAAGCTGGTACAAGGGATGAAATGGTTATCTTACAGGGATAGGTTAAAATTTCTTTTATCTTGAAAAAAAAGAAGAGTAAGAAGTGATGTTATTGAAGTTTACATGATTAAACAAGAGGGGAGAGGGTAATAGGATTATGTCTGTGACAGAGCAATTTCTATTTCTAGTTATGATTTTGTGCATCATTCATATATTTTTCCTTTTATCACGTGGTTCAACTATATTTTTAATTGCTTCAAATCTGAATTTAATGTTCAGATAATGCAATCAAAGACAATATTCCAACAACATTCTCCCAAAATAACATTGGGAACATCTTTAATTTTATTATACAGAGAATGAGTTCAATTATTATCACACGGTGTTTTTGAGACAAAGAAGAATTTCAGTAATATTGTCTTATGATGAAACAAGCTGTTCTTGAATGAAGTCATACATATGCCTGTTTTTACCTTGCTGAATATCTTTAGTCCCATCTTACTGGCTTATCTGCTGGTGATCCTGGGCACTAGACTTGCAATAAGTACAGCTTTCATTATGGAAACTGCTAGATGACCAGTAAATACAAATAAGTAGAACTTTTGAACTAAACTTAAGCAGCAATATGCAGTCAAAAGCTACACTGTTTCTCAAGTGGCTGGTCACTGTATTTCTGATAAAACTATTTACCAACTATTTATGTGTCAATAAATAGGTGTTTTTAAATCTAACATTTTTACCATATGAAGACATAGCTGTGTAGGATCAAAGGCCATGACTTCTGGATGATTAACAATTTAGGAAGCTCACAAACTAACCAAATTTAAAATAGTTCACTAACTGTTATATGAAATACTGAATGGCAAAACAGTTAGTAACTTTGAGTCATATGTATTTAAAGTTGACAGTTTTCTGTATAAAACTTGTGATGATGAAATTTTAATTAAAACATGAGCTTATTTTGACAGCTTCCAGAAAATCCCTTGTGTAGTATTGAAATATGAATGAATACTTCCAATGGCCCCATCACTAGATAAAAAGAATATTAAGTACTAATTGTATTATTAATGGGTATCACTGTACTGAGTAAACAGTTGCTTAGAAGTTAGACACTCCAAATTTCACTTCAGATCTTTAGTAATTTTAAGGTTAAAAATAAAATCTCGAAAGAAATGTATTATATGGAACCATTAACGTTAGGCTATTTCCATAACATTTATATTAATATTATTTTGCATATAATAAATGGATAAACGTTAAATAGTACCTTTTAGTTCTAATTCTACTTCTAATACCAGAATTGTTCTACAACTTGTATTTACAAGTACAAACACAGTGACTAGTACTGAGTAGTTGTATTACAGCTGCACAAGTGATAAACGCAGTGTTTTGTATAGTATCAGAGTCTAAATGTATTACTTTCGTTTCGATTTGTAACAACAAACTGTTCATAAATTGTCGCTAAATTTACCCAATAAAAGTAGTTTCAATTCCCTTCTAGCATCTCTTTTGTCTTTACGGAGTTGTCTCTCAATTTCCTGATTGATTCTTTTCTGTTCCTGCGCTTCTGGACTGCCACAACACGCCATGACGATCGGCGAATAAATCTTAAGTTAACACAAGTGTGTTGAAAATACCTTATTGGAGAATTATTATTACTAATTTCTGAATTTATTCAGTGAAATTATAATATTACAATATCGTCATAAATTATAATAGTGTGTTTTCGTACAAAACGTGTACAAAATTAAACTCAACTGTATGCAACAGGCTATAACATCACCATTACTATTAATTCAGGCTTACAAAAAAACCTGCACACATTAATTCAATAAAATTGTCGTTTTCGCTTCATTCCCTGGGTGTGGTGAGAAGGGAGTAATAATAATTCATTCGAAAGCTATTTTAGCACGCATTCATTTGGACAGCGTTTCCAGAAAAGTAATCTTACTATCCCGGTATGCTAAGTAAAAAAAATATGCGCAAACTCAATGCTACTTCCTTCGGAAAATAAATTAATCTTTTGATGCTGATTTAAGTGCGATAGAACAAATCATCAATAAAGGGAGGTATGGTTAAGTGTAATAGCCATGTCCTACTGTTATAAAATTGCTGAGAATTTATGAATTGGTGTCGAGAGAGAGACAAAAAGAAGCAAAGAACGACAATTTATGTTAGAAGTACTTCTGAAATGTTGAAAACACTACACTACTTAAGATTTATTGATTTTTTGAGTCCTTTATAATTCATCATTGAGTAACCTAAATGAATTTAGGTGTGTGAATAATATTATGACATTGCACCTAATTTATTATTCGATATTACATAACCATCAAATTGTTCAATGATTACATCTATCTATCTATATATATATATATATATATATATATGTTCCATATTTCTTTTCTTTTTATATTTGATATTTTCAATTTTACCTTTACTGAAAAAGAAAAGAAGTCCGTAATATATACACACACACAATCATTAAAGAATTGGTGCTCTATATAATATCCAATAAAAATTAGATGCAATGCCATAATATTATTAAAACACCTAAATTAATTTAGTTTACTATATAGTGAAACAGAGATCTGTAACACACATGTACTAGATATACTTCCGCAGGGTCCCCGAAAGTGTTCTGTTTCAAGAGTAAATAAAACCAAAATTAAAAGCAACAAATATTCTTAGTTCTTGCTTTCGAAGTTCACATGTCATATTGTGTTGTAATCTAAAGAGCGCACAATTCTTCTCGTGATTCATGACATGCGCACGTTTTACTGACGTTACGATAATACAAATTGCAACGTCAAATGTCCCTTATGTGACGTTATTTTTGTGTCTACTGACTGACTGACGTACAACACACTACTGTACTGTGGTGCGAGTGGTTAAAACAGGTGACCCCTTCAGGTGGCTTTCGGGGAAATAATCACTATACTAATTAATTTTTAACAATATTCAGGATGTTTTATAAGCAATTAAAAAAAGAATTTCTACTTGACAACTTTAGAAAAAACAACAGCACAAACAAACTGTAATCTGACTGAAACATATCTACATTCGCATAAAAACACCTTCAAAAGTAGAGACAAAACGAAAAAATGAATGATAATATGCATAAACACATGAAAAATCAAACAATCAGTTTGGGCTACAAAAAATTAGAATATGCTGAAATATCTATAAGTGAAATAAACAAAATAAATAGATGCATAACTTATCCAGAGCTGGCACGAGGTTTCACTCTCCTCACCTTAATCCCACCAACAGATCATCATATGTAGTGGTTATCTTTTGATTAACCATTGTTATCGCCATCATGGCATAGTGGTCTTTGGCTAGGGTATCATGCCTGTCAGTTAAGCCCATAAGTAATACATCTTCTGCTTCAGTCTTCTTTCCTTTTGTACAAGGCCCTTTGGTCTAGTCAGTGACCATATTCTGACAGTACCACTTGTATTTGGGGGTTATGCTCTAATATCAGCCAGTGTAAGATCACCTTGAGTGGGTTTGTTGAGAGTTCTACTACAGACTGCCTCTGGAGTTATTCTTGGGGCCATGTTTATGGTAGTATCTTGATCTTTGTCATGGTAGAAGTCATTTGCCTCATATTTACTGTTTGGATGATTGTCTGTTTGGCAGTCGATTTTGATGTTTCCTCATTGATGATTAACCCTCTTCTTGGTGATTCTGAAGGTGACAGACATTATCTAGGGACGAATGGTACTCTTATTTTACCAGAGCCTGATCGACTGTAAAGAGGACCCAAACCCCAGAGAGGATTTCTTTGACTTAGGGAGATAAATGTTCTTGCAGGAAGTGTGAGTACATCTAGTACCATCAATGTTTTGATATGTTGTACTCCTGGCAGGACATTTCAGAAGTGGGTCATTGTCCTGCCTTAAAGATTAGCTAAAAAATCTGCTGTGATGAAACCGAAAACAAAAAGTTGGCCAAACTTATACCACGAAAAATGACTAACGTTAAATAGATGTTTTAATGTTCACAACATTTCGGGCTAGGATGCCCTTTCTCTGGTGATTTTAAAATTTTTGGAAGGGTTAGGCTGACCATGTTTTCATGGGAATCAGCTCTGATGGAATTTTCTGCCATTAGGTCACTTGAAGGCTTGGCTCCTCGGGTGTCAGCAATGTGGTGGTCACTGCTATTTCCCCCATCACTGATATATTCAGTGAAGGTTTGAACTCTGCAGGACCTATCATGGCTGATGCAGGCTACTTAATTCCAGCCTGATGACAAACATAAAAAGATCTCTGATGATTAATGCATTGGTAAACAATAGCCCTTCTTACATGGGTTCAGTCATGGTGATTGTCAGATCCGTACAAGACCATGGGAAAACATAGTCCATTCCTTCATTGTATAGCACACTCTGGCCATATTGGTCGTCCTCATCAAGGTGTTCCATGAAAAAGTGGACTGGATGCTTCTGGTACAGGTGGCAACAAGACAGCATGGCTGACTAATGGCCAGTTGATGAAAGAGATAGCAAGAAAGGGGGAATGATTAAATAACAAAAGTCTTGATTGAAAATATAAGGTCAAGTGAGTTACAATTGGTCAGAAGGTCAACCACATGTGTAGGCTATAAAGAGTGGTTACATGACTTATGGGTTACAATTATTACTTGTTATAAAATCACATTTAAAGATATGGTACTAAAACTATAACTTGGTCAAGCAATATTTCTATGGGCTTCACATGTACTCACACCCCATATTGCCCATAGAGAATGTACCCATTACATATGTGAACCTCTTGGTCCCAAGATTTTATTGGGTCTCTGCTTAACCAATACATATAGCTGTGCTGAACTATGTCATCTCTGCCAGATAACAGTCAACATGACTTACCTTTTACTCAGTGACATTCCTTTTGTTACCATTTGGTTATCATATGGACAGAGCCCAGGTCCAGTAGAAAAGGAAGCGAGCCAAAACTGCAAAATTGGTTCCTACACACATGAGCTGCTCAGGTTAGGTGATGCAAAACCTTATATTTGACTGCTGCAATCCACTGATATTTATATTTTCTCTCCTTGGTTACTTTTCTAGTTACAAGTGTAATATTAACTTGGTGCAAGTTACAAAGTTTTTCATATGGGTATTACTTTCTGTCTCTCAAAAACAACTTTTTCATGTGTACTGAAACAATGTTATGAAAATATTTAATGAAACTGTACTTATGAAATGCTTAAACCTGCCTGATTCAAAATATTCTTACCAAACCAAATAAAACCATAGGTATATCAATTTACATTTGTTATGATATATAAACCACTATTTGTGAATTTCATTTACTGCTCATAATTCTACCCACTCATGAATATTTCAGTTTGATCCAAATGAAATATCTTGGACTACTCTTACCAAAAAATACCAGATAAAATTGTTTTCTCTCAAATGTAGTGTGTGAATTTCATTATTACTTTTATCCTTCCATAAAAATTCACCAGCGTCCAAATATTTCAGTGTTAAAATTAAAACATTATCTCACCAAAATTAACGAAAACAAAATGTGTACTGTACTTTTAAATAATACCTCCCAGATCAGTAATCACATTTACCTTTATATCAGAGTCTGAACATCTAGATCAAATCCATTGTTTCCATTCATATGTTGCTTGACCATTGTACTATTTGCTTAATTAATCCAATAATTACAGTTGTAATTATACATCACTTATGAATGACTTTATGTAATGTTTTTCCTCAATTCTGTCCATATAGAAGTGTTAAGACTAAACACATATATTCATTTATACACGTATATTACTAAATACATATATCTCCATTACACATTGGCACATCTCAAGTATCTTATAACGCAGTTTCTGGCTCCCGTGCAAATTGCTTTGGTAACCTTATCAGGTTAGTTTCCAAAGCTACAACTTAGTAACCACTAGCAATTTACACTTGACATACACAAACAGTATTTAAACTGAACAGAAGATGACTTGATAATGTTATCACATAACTCTTAATCTATTCGCAAGTGTCAGTTACTTATTCAAAAGTTTGTTTTACTCGGAAACAATACTCATGAAAAATCAGTTTGAATCACTGAGTTTTAATTATTTTTGTACCACAATTAAATTTTTCGACAAAACATTGGCCATGAACTGAAGCATAGGTTGAAACTTGAATAAAAAACACACAGTCGTTTCTGTATATTTATTCCAGGAGATTAGATTCAGCTTCAAAGTAGCAGCATTAAGATACAGGACTAATACTAATGGTTATAAAAACTTATTGCCAGATTTCAAAGAACTTTGCAAATACCAATTTTATACGAATGTAGGGATGCTTACTTTTTATATAATTTCTCAGAAAGAAATCCTCCTTAGAAAATCTAAGGTGATATTTTTATTATTTTTCAAATTATATTTCATAATTCAACTAAATAACTACTCATACGTTACAAACTGCCTCCTTAAATGCAGAATCATAAAAGTTTAATGAAATATTCCAACAATAGAGCTAACCACTGGAGACTAAAATATGATTTATTTATTTCTACTTTAAATATAACACCGTTTTGGATTGAACCACTTTCCAAATAGCCCATGACACCTAAGAATTTACTGTTGAATAATGTCAAAGTGATAAATATGTCCTTCTTTTGTTCGAGTTGGATTGGAAGGAAATTTTTGCAACAGCTCTGACATCGTCCATGGAAAAAAATTATATTTATGCACACGTGTGAAAATTTGAACAAAAATATCCTGTATCACGTGGTTCCCTCAATAAACACTAATATTAGTATGGATAAAAAGAAAGTGAAATACGGTTATATCAAAGGAGACTTTGGAATTTCCAAGTGAGTAGCTAAAGTTTTTTGAGTAAAATGGTAATTAAAATGTTACGTGATATGTGCAAGAAATGTTTCTTACATTAATAGCTACTATGAAATACTTATATAGTTGTAAAAACAAAGCAGAACAAGGTAGATAATTAGGCTTTTAGATCTGAGTATATTTTGTATTTTGAGTGGTGATTTAAATATCATTTGTATCTGAAATTGTGGATAAAATGTTTTAATAATTCTTAAAATTTGTGACTTCACTATGAAATTGTTCTTACCTAATAAAGGAACGACCAGTGTCAATGTATATTTAACAAATGTGTATGATTTCCATGGGTGTTCAAGTCTGTGAGAAAGGATCTTGCATGTTAGGGCTTGAATAAAATGCAAAGGACAGCTCTGTCTTAGTTGTGTTTAATTACTTACATTATGCAAGAGTGAAATATGAAACTGGTGAGTTTAATGTAGTAAAGCCGACGTAATAATTTAAAGCTAATGTTCTACTTTTCTTACTCACTTTTCCATTTAAAGTATTAATATTACATTTTTTGATTTTTGTCTAATATACCCTTCAAGGTTTTCTTACAGTCATTAATGCTAGATGCATATAGATACATCCCTTTCCTATAGACTCTGTCATCTTATGTTCTATTAGTTTCGTATTTTCGAGGCAATTAGGTGGTTGTGAAAATTTAAACTTACTTAAAAAACATTATCTATTTGTTATATTATTTAAAACAAACGTTGTTACTTACAATCTCTGAATGGTTGTTTTAGAAAATGAACGAAAATTCGTTTCCATAGTATAATAACTTTTCTGTTATATTTTTTGAAAGTAGTAATTAAAATATTTTTTTCAAAGAGGATATACCAGCTTAATTAATATATAACAGTAATATTATTCTGGTTTCCTACCACACGTACTTTTGTGGGAAATAACATAAAGGAAAACTTCTACTTAGCAGTGAGTTCAGTTTAAACATATATTATTTCCATATTTCATAATAGTTACACTTTCGGTCGCTAGATGGAAACACAAAATGTTCGTACATAACGATATTTTGGGACATTTCATTTCACAAACATGATACCCGACAAACCAATTTCGCTAAAAATAAATAAATAAATAAAGAATTAACTAAATTAATATTTAATGTATCAAGCACCCGAGGGAATTTTTGCAAGTGAAAGATCTGTGTAAATATTATTGATGTTTCAGTTTAACAACACCAGTTTCTTAATCATCAAAACAAT